AAAACATTTACAGTATCCCATAGTACGCTAATGCACACGTATGCTGCTGATAACTGTTCTACATTACACTAACAGAAAACAGACAGTATTCATTACCAGATTTCAGGTTGCCTCTCACCAGCGGCTTGTAATTCTGGTCTATTCCGGCATATACGGTTATAAGCTGAAACAGATGCATATTTAGTTAATGCGATTGAAGCAAAAAAACCAAAACGCATTTACCTTTTTGTCTTCCTCCGGCAATTTATCAAAGCCCCCATATGGATCGTCAGATATATACAGCGGGTTGAACTCACCCTCCTCTGAAGGATTGTCTCCTCCGTTGATTCTGAAACGGTACATTCAACTCGAGTTTCAAGCAAGGATATACTATCGTACAGGAAATTGTACTGAACTCCTCTCTGCAGCCAGATTTCCGGAGCCATGTATCCGTTGATGTACCAAACGTAAGGCGCAGATTTTACTCTTGCATAAGACTGGTAGCCTTTTTGACCTCCAGGCGGCCCCAGTTGGAAGGTAAAGTTGGTGTTTCTCCCTCTTCCGAGAAGAGTAACCACCGGCCAGGGTTCCACTTGCTTAGCGTCGAACGCGTTTGTCTACAATTGCCTCATTACTGCATTCAAATGTCTGTTTAATAGTCGTTCAAAAATACGTCAGTCTTAGGGGGTATGTAAGGCGGAATGTGGCTGGACAAATTGTGCACCGTCACATGGGCAAAATTTACCGCGAACCGGTAACAGTAAAGGCTGATCCAGTCGATGTTGTAAATGTCGTGGTCTGCTGGAAGTTCGATCACCACATCCTTGTCACCAGTATAAGCCTCGCTGAGACTGGTAATACTGAAACAGCGCGATGTAAGCACAATATGACAAAGCCTTGGCTGTTACGCATAACCTGTCGGCTGTGTCTTTCCCACGCACGGGTACTTTCACCCCGGCTCCTCTTCTGGGCTCGTCGCCTTTGCCCACAAAGAAATATGTATCTAGAAATGTTCATGAATTTAATAGAAATAAGTACTGCTGACAAAAGAGATTATACTGACTATAATTTAAACAATATGCAATAATAATGACAATGTATGTGACGATGTTCCTGCGACCTCAGGTAACCTCATGAAGCTTTCAGCGGATAGTTATGCCCCAGAGAGAATAACATCAAAATAACATCATTTCAAACATCAAAGAACAAAACATGGGTTCATAAAACGGAGAATGTTGTTAATCGAATGACTCTTCCAATCCGAGCTTTAAAATATGTCATAAGTAGTCACTTTTGGGGATCACAGCGTTCCGTCAATGCAGGCATACCTTGCATCAAGAACGTTTATCCTATGGCAGAGAGAAGGTACCTATCTTTCAGCAGTCAGTCATTTATTAGCTTTAAGATGATGCCCTGCTCGTCACCAATTATGATGCACGTAGAAGTTGTCCAGTCGTTTTTTATACTTTCGCAAACCACCAACAGTAGGAGTATATCACTAAGGGAATAACTGTTTTAAAACCAGGGTTTAAAGTGAACGAGCAATAGTGTAA